AAAATTGTTACTTGACAGTTTTACGACACATTTTTATTTTTTTGAGTTGCAACATTATCTTTTAAATTGACAAACATCATATGTGTAATTCGTGGCACAATTCAAATGGGATGGAAAGATAATCTTTCTCTCCCCATTGACTTCAATACATACTTTTTCCGAAATAAGGTCCCATGGAGGTCCCCCGGAAAGGCAGGGACTTCGCCTCTCGATTGAATACGGTTTGAACATGAAAACAAAGGGGATACGACACTTCCTTCATCAAAACTACACATTTCCCTGGAGCTCCACAACTCAACTGAATAGCAAAGTGTGAGTTGCTTTCAGACTTTTAAATGCAGAAATAATGGATTATGAGGCCGCTATGATTTCTTATAAAGTCTTATTAACACATACTAATAACACCCGTCTCATAAGGGCCTTTTCACCTATGTTTTTAAAACTTATTACAATCACTGTATCATAAAGCTTTACAGAAAACACTTGTAGATAATGGGTTTGTATTCTTTACCACGCAGCTGAAGTGAAGAAAGCAGCAGAAAAGGTTGCACAATGACATAAGTAACAAGAAACTCATTTATTAATATTTATTGAATTATATTTATAGTAGCAGGTTGCTAATAATGTGTTATAATCTTAAAGTAACAGGATTAAGAAGCCATTGTAAACTCTTATATCATCTTATTAACACAATAAATACTTTTAAATGCAGAAATAATGGATATTGTACAAATACTCTCGTTCTTTAGGGTTTCAAAATGAAAACAAAGCGGATACAAAACTCTACCTTCATTAAAACTACACATTTCCCTGGAGCTCCACAACTCAACTGGATAGTTAGCAAAGTGTGAGTTGCTTTCAGACTTTTAAATGCAGAAATCATTTTAAATCCTAATTGATAGTATTTGTAAGCCCCTCAAATACGGAGATTTGAAGAACAACATATTGAACCGACACAACAAGACATTTAGAGACTTTACGTTGGATTTTGTTGCTGGTTGTTGACACTTTATAGACCTTAACATTAATCCATTCACTGAGAGAATGACCGTAAGTTAGAGCCAGTGTTTCCTCAGCTGAAAGCAAGTTATGTTTAAGACTCCTAAGAATGTTATACTTTGAATTTGTACGAATGCTCTCGTTCTTTTCCGTGTGCATTCCCGCTTCTGAAATCTGAAACATGACATATTTATATTTTGTAGGAGAGTAAAAGTACTTCTTAATAGCAGACGGTACAGAAGAAGTGGACTTCATCACAACATTGGATTTGTGGTCTCGAGTTTAGTATTTTATGTGTTTCTATTAAATGTAGACGCAATGAGTATTTCTACACCTCCTAACGAGTGAGCAATGGGAATTCTGGACTGGAAAGCTGTCTCATTTCGGGGTTTTAGGACTCATCCCGCACCTTAAAGACTTATTTAAAGCATATGAAAGGGTCTACGACTATTAGGTATAAGTGGGAATAAAGTCACTAAGTATTTTTAGAATAAATCAGGTATTTTCTGAGTAAAGAAGGAAAGAAATGAGAGCAGAAACACAGCTCATTATGGAGGGTTAATGGACACGTTAGACTCTCATCTGTCACATGTCACATGACCTCCGACATGACATATTTATATTTTGTAGGAGAGTAAAAGTACTTCTTAATAGTAGACGGTACAGAAGAAGTGGACATCATCACAACATTGGATTTGTGGCCTCAAGTTTGGTCTTTTGTGTGTTTCTATTAAATGTAGACGCAATGGCCATCGAATATTTCTTACTTTGTAGTCTTAGAGATATCACTGGGATAACCCTGACTTATTTACTATTATCTTTCTTTGTTTTTATGTGTTTTATTGACTTTAATGTGGATTTTTTGTACGTAAAACTGTTGAAACTTTCTTTCCGTGTGCATTTGGTGCAAAGGAAAAAGGAAAGCGTCACCCTTTCAGAGAACGGGGATTTGAACCGCTGCCATGCCAGTTTATTGAAAGTGAAACAAACGCCTCTTTCTGCAGGATTCAGATCATCAGACCTCCTTTCTGTCTGAATGCATCGAAGGCAAAACGCCAGCATGGCAGCTTGACGTTTCTTTCTAAGGAGCATCAATGGAAAGCATTAACTCCTACTTCTCTGATGGAGCTTTTTAAGCTTAAATGTAGTTTATAGGCAAGGCAAGTTTATCTGTACACTGAAGAAACTGAAGCGTTGACTTTAATTAAATGTGGTATGTCACATCACTGTTTTAGGTCAGGGGTCGGCAACCCGCGGCTCTCCAAGCCCTCTGCTCTGGCTCCCTTGAGCTTAGACAAAAATAAGAAGGAAATAAAATTAAAATATTTGTAGGACTATTTATTGTCACGGTTCAAAATGTTTGGTATCTCGTATTTTGAGGTGATACTGTGACACATAACTTCAACTGGTTCAGAACTCTGGCGCCCGCATCGTCACCAGAACCCCCTCCATTAACCCCCTCACTCACTGGCTCCCCGTCAAATCGATACCCTCACTCCTCTTTACCTCTCAGACCTCCTGCACACACCCATCCGCACTCTCAGGTCTTCTGCTTCCCTCCACCTCACTGCACCCCACCTTCAGCCGCTCTGCACCCCCCTTACGTTTAACCACCATGGGGTCTAGAGCCTTCAGCTGCTCTGCACCCCCCTTACGTTTAACCACCATGGGGTCTAGAGCCTTCAGCCGCTCTGCACCCCCCTTACGTTTAACCACCATGGGGTCTAGAGCCTTCAGCCGCTCTGCACCCCCCTTACGTTTAACCAGCATGGGGTCTAGAGCCTTCAGCCGCTCTGCACCCCCCTTACGTTTAACCACCATGGGGTCTAGAGCCTTCAGCCGCTCTGCACCCCCCTTACGTTTAACCACCATGGGGTCTAGAGCCTTCAGCCGCTCTGCACCCCCCTTACGTTTAACCACCATGGGGTCCAGAGCCTTCAGCCGCTCTGCACCCCGCCTCTGGAACTCTCTCCCACCTGACATCCGCAACACTGACTCTCTC